GTTTTCGAACGACAGCGAGGAAGGAAAAGAATTAGATTTTCGCTTGGTGTTAACAAAATTATAAAACTGTTTCGGGTCCTGAGAGAACTGGACCTTACAACGGTTTAAGTAACTATTATAACACTGAGCATTAAGCACGGTAAATCTTGACCGAGCACTTAAATATCTAGTAAAAACAGATTGAGAACCGATATTTTTATATTTCCTCAAAAGACTGGACTTTACATTTCTTAAGTGTGTCAACTCTTTGCTAAACCAAGGTGATTTATTGGAAGTTGATGGATAGTACCACGGAACACAGGAATTAAAAAATGAGTTTATTGCAGTGTAAAAAACATTAACTGCATCGGACATATTAATGCATAAGTAAAGATCAGATCAATTAAAGCCAGAAATAAAATTATTTAGCCTAAGAAAGTCTGCCTTGCGAAAACAATGCATTCGTTTGGATTTTTCTGATTTTTCTTCTATAACTCTACCCGTATCAAATGAAAGTTCGATTGTTGGGTGATATGGATCTTCAGGTTGCGTGAGTGGTGCTACTCTGGACAGAAACACACCTTCAGGATTTGATACAAAACACAAATCAAGTAGGCGACCTAATGAATTTCGAACATGGTTTACTTGAGATAGAGATATGTCAAGCAGGCCATCAATAAAATCATGCTGTGCTATAGGTAGTAAGACATTCGATCCATCCTCCTAAATAATCAGGAAGTTCAGATAACGGCGGAATATATGAGCAAGTTATGTATATAAAGTTACCAGGAAGCGATAACTGTACACAAATAAATTCAATGGTATTGAATTCATCAAAAAACAAGAGAGAACGCTATAGTCGGGTGCCCCGACTATCAGATACCCGTTACGCAGGTAAAGGGAGTGCGAGGGAGATGGAGATAGAAACTTTGATCACGCATAACTTTTTAACGAATGGTCCGATTTGAAAAATTTCTTCTACATTTCGATAGGTATTGATAAACACAATAAAACTGCATTTTTACTTTTCCGAAATATTTAAATTTTTTAAATCGTATATAAACGATTGTGGGCGTTAAAGGGGGCGTGGCTCCTTTTTGAAACAAACTTGCGCTGCGTAGGAACTCCTAGAATCTGCATGCAAAATGCCAATCTTCTAGCTTTTATAGTTTCCGAGATCTCAGCGTTCATACGGACAGACAGACAGACAGACGGACAGACGGACATGGCTATATCGACTCGGCTAGTTACCCTGATCAAGAATATATATACTTTATAGGGTCGGAAACGCTTCCTTCTAGCTGTTACATACTTTTGCACGAATACAATATACCCTTTTACTCTACGAGTAACGGGTATAAAAACTCCTCAGACGGGAAGTTTGAATCAACTCCAATTAAGACTCCACCACCCCGTCTAGAGGGACGGTCATACCTATATATTGTGTACTTACCTGGAAAAACTTCGGAGCTAAAGATCTCCGGCTTTAACCAGGTTTCTGTGAACACAATAATATGAGATGCAAAGGAAAGGCTATCAGAATACAATTTAGTGAGTTTGTTACGCAAACCTCTTGCATTCTGATAGGAAAGAAGGAGGTTAGAAGTTAGTTTTTTGAAATTGGTACACTGGTTTGGCCCCGACTAGGAAGTTTTACTCCCACGGGCCCCTTCTTCTTTATCTTAGCCTCGAACTCTTTTACAACCATATTATCCGGCCAAAAGTCGCTCGAGCATATTGCTTCAAAAAGCTCGTTAGAGACAGTTATCTTGAAAGATGAAATGTCTCTAGCATAAGAAAACTTAAACTTTTCCACCTTTACACTATTACAATCGGCTTTTGTTTTGTCTTTTATATAAGACAATACATCAGAAGATGTTTGATCTGGGGAAAGCCGAGAAACGAAAATTTGTTTCTTTAGTGGAACCACTAAAAGGGATTTTGGTGGAGCAGACATTGTTTCTGCAAAACCAACTTGAGCCGGTTGTCCGGACTCAGTAGTCCCTTGTGGTGGAGATGCTACATTCTGAGAGATAGGTGGATCCACTAATTGTGAAACCACTACGGACAACTCGGAATTCTTAGAAGTCTCTGGTTGCATGCATTCTGTAACGGATTGTTCGGATACCGAATCTTTTTTAGCTGCTGATCTTAGCAACATTTGAGGGTTTGCTGAAATCAGCTGCTGATCCGCCGGAATGCTCTGTTGTTCTTTTGATTTCGGTTGCGGGGTGTTCCCCCTTTGCTCCTTACCACCAGTGGGCTTTTTGCGCTTAGGGGACTCTTCTAATAGCTTACGACTATTAAATTGAGAGTCCAGCGCAGAAGAGGAGATCATCAGCTCGGCGAAAACTATCTCTAGCCACTCCGAAACAGCTAATCAGCCCCATCAGGCCGCCTTTAGTTTGGCGCATGAACGATTTCATCTCGTTCGCAACCTCGACACAAGCGTCACAACAAAACTGCAAATTGGGCCCCTTTGAAATGTCATCACTTGTCCGGCCAGTAAAACCGGCGCACTTGGTGGTCATCATATTTTCACACAGCCAGCAAGTCATATTAGACTGGTCAGCCCTGATTACGAGGCTGCATTTTTTGCAGAAGCAGACTAAATTTTTATTGTTCATTTTATTTATTTACCACTGTACCAAGAAAGCGAATTGAAATTTATAAACGAGCAGTTATAAGTACCGCAAGAGCGCAGAAACTGCACGCTTAGAACTTTCAAAGCAAAGAGAGCGGGAGCGTAATTTAAAGTGCATGCACAAAAACACAGATAAGAATTACGAAAAACTAAAACAATTTATTAGTATTAAATACAAAGTGCACTCGCGAAGCGAACGGAGTTTAAATTTATGTTTAAATAAACCGGACGAGAATTAAAATTGTTTTGATAAAACCCACCGATGGGAATAAACGAAAACAAAATGCAAAATTCGAAGCGCAGAAAAAAAACACGACCGTTCACTTTGAAAGTCAAAGACGATACTCAACGTTACTGCGCTTCCGGCTGCATAGGTTCGCCCTGACCGCCGATGTAAAGAAAATGTATCGCCAAGTGATGGTGAATGAAGCAGATAGGCAGTTTCAACTTATGGTGTGGAGAAGAGACCCCTCTGAGTCCTTGAGATTATACAAGCTCAACACCGTAACATAGGGTACTGGACCAGCCCCGTTTTTGGCTATTCGGTGTTTAAAAAGGTTAAATGAGTCTGCCAAACTTTCTTTTCCTAGAGCTACTAAAGTCCTTGGATCCGACTTTTATGTCGATGATATGTTGACTGGTGCTTAAAGACCATTAAGTCTGATGTATCTCAGGTTCTTCAAACTGCAGGTTTTAAATTGACAAAGTGGTTTTCAAACTCACCTGACGTTACCGCATCTGAGAGCACAGTTAAATCCATATCCATCTCGGTTTCAGAGCCAACTAATGCGTTAGGAATATCGTGATTGCCTTGCGAAGATGCCTTCAAGTTTCAAATTGACACTGCTGTCACTGCTATCGATGACATCGAAGCTGTTTGACACCCTAAGCTCAGGGTCTTAGTCTTATTGTAGTTAGAGGAAAGATCCTATTGCAGTAACTTTGGCTAAATAAGTTAGATTGGGATGAGTCGATTCCTATTCATTTTGAAACAGCGTGGAATATGATAAAAATGACACTTTCTAAATTAGAGGAAGTATCTATTCCCCGGTTTGTGCATACCGCTCAGATGTCACCGGTCCAAAGCTATTAAAGATGCGTCGGCAAAGGCATGTATGCCGACGCATCTTTAATAGCTTATGGAGCTTGCGTCTACATTCGTAGCAAAACTGCAGAAGGTTATAAAATATCGCTGTTGACTTCAAAGTCTAAAGTAGCGCCACTCAAGACTAAGACACTCCCAAGGCTTGAGTTATGTGCCGCTCACCTTCTCGCACATCTCTGCCACAGAATCAAGCCCCTATTGAAGGTACCTATCGAACGAATTGTTTATTGGTCGGATTCTGATGTTACGCTTTATTGGATCCGGTCTCATCCATCTTCATTATCCACATTCGTATCGAATAGAGTTGCGGAGATTCAAAAGTGGTCAGGTGAAGCTACATGGCGGCATATTCCAACGAAACAGAACCCAGCAGATATTGTATCAAGAGGTTGTGACGTCGACGAAATCATACAGTCAATATGGTTTACTGGACCTGCGTTTTTAAAAGAGACACTTTGACCTTTTAGAGACACTTTGACCTAGATGAAGAAGTCCTACTACAAGAATCGAGGAAGACTGCGGTCGGACTGACCGCTGCTGTAAGAAATTTGGATTTGGTAGATGTCATCGAGGGATTTTCGTCACACCTTAAACTGCTTCGGGTATTCGTTTATATGTTCCGCTTCATAAGAAAATGCAAAGACAAAAGTATGGTATTTGAAATAAATTGTCGCCGACCGAATATAATGAAGCTTTTCTAAAAATCATGAAGAAAGAGAAAAAGTTCGTAAAGGATCTAGAGTTGGCCCAAGTCTTCAGCGATTGAATCCATTCATCCATGAAGACAAGGGGACTTTGTGTCACTTTTCTTTGTTGCGAGTTGGGGGGCGACTAGCTAATGCTCCTATATCATACGATGCCAAGTTTCCATTGTTGTTAACAAAACGCTCCCAATTTGTACATCTTAACCATTCCAATTTTCATGTTGGTCGACGAGCCCTTGTAAGTCTCCTTCGACAGCGTATTTTGATCGTTAATGCTCAGGAGGTCTGCAGTCAGATAGTTCGATCATGCATACGCTGCTTTAGGTGTAAGCCTCGACTAATGACACTAATTATGGGAAATTTACCCGCAGATCGTCTCCGTGCTCTCCGCCCATTTGCTATATGTGGTATTGATTTTTGTGGCCCTGTCTATACGACATTGAAAATTCGTGGTAGGCCTCCGTATAAGTCCTACATTGCGCTCTTCGTTTGTTTTGCGTCCAAAGCGGTTTATCTAGAAGTTGTTTCAGATTTAACCACAGATTCCTTTTTATTGGCTTTTCAAAAGTTCGTTGGGTGCCGAGGATGTCCCCAAGTCGTCCATGGCGACAACGGGACGAACTTCGTCGGAGCGAGTCGCCACTTCCGGGCCCTTCGAGAGAGGATAGAGGACGAAGCCGACGCGATACGCGAATTCGCATCAAACAGCGGATAAGAATTTGTCTTCACACCACCGCGGGCTCCGCACATGGGCGGTCTATGGGAGGCAGGTGTCAAAACTGCCAAGAGCCTACTCCTACGGGCGGTGGGCAGCGCGCTCCTAAGCGCAGAAGAGCTGGGGACAGTCCTCGTGGGAATCGAAGCGGTGATGAACTCCCGGCCGCTCGGAGCAATCAGCAGCGACCAAAGCAACGGAGAGGCGCTGATACCCGGGCACCTACTGACAGGCGGGCCGCTACTCGCCACACCAGCACTCCGGACCCCGGACCTGGAGGGTCTCAACTGATTGCGGCGATGGCGGCTTGTCTCGTCAGTCAGGCAAATGTTCTGGCGGCGATAGTCCCGGAAATATGTCCTGGGCCTCCAAAATCGGGGCAAGTGGCACCAGCAGCAGCCCAACATCAGCGAGGGAGATCTCGTCCTTGTAGCCGAGGACAACCTGCCGCCCCAACAATGGCTCCTCGGCAGAATAGTCACCAGGCCCGCAGGGGAGGACGGCATGGTCAGGGTCGTCGACGTGCGGACTAGTGGAGGAGGCCTTTTCCGGCGGGCCATTCAAAAGTTGGCGCCGCTTCCGTTATGTTGAAGCCCGATGGGTGTTGGCTCAAATTTGAACTATTTATGAAATTGTTAAAATCTTGAAGTTTAGTGTAAGTTAGCTTAGGGCGAAGGCGGGAGCATAATAAAGTACTCTCGCTCTCGGCGAAGTCGCCCATTCTTCGCCAACCTTCGTTAAGCTAGGCTCTAAGTACTTTGTCGAAATATAGCATAGGCATTCGTTGAAATTGATTTGAGCCGTCGACACCTTTTTTCGTTTTCATTTATTTTCGCTATTAAAATAGTAGAGTATTTAATTTTTTTTTGCATTTTTTTTATTATTTTTTTTTCTGAATACACAACATCTTGAGAATATTGTGTTTAAATTTTAGATCGATCCGAATAAAACTTCCGAACTTATGTGCAGTTGAGTAAGCCCGTTTTATATTCAATTTTTGGGTGTCCCTAACTTTAAAACGCTTTCTTGAAAAGTTGTCATTTCAAAGTCGGTGTACACGATCTTGCAAAATTTATCGGACGGATCGTTTTGAGATTTTGCACAGTATTTCTCTACTGAATTCCTCAGGTAACGCTGTCGAGTTTTTTTTTTTTGAAACTACGACTTTCAAGTGCCTTAAAAAATCGAATAAAAACTAAAAAAATAAAAACTCGACACCGTTACCTGAGGAATCTTGTCCTTTAACTAATGCAATTTGATATTTTCATTTCAAATGATTCTGTGATTAGTTATCGTCTACACCGCAAAATGTGTTTTCTTCGAGGCACCAACGTTTGGTTCTTTTATGATACTCAACTAAACTAATGGTTTGTCATAACTTAAGATTTCGAAAGGTATGCCAAACAAGTATGATCTGGAATATTTTGTTGCCCATACGATATCTAAAAGTACTTTTTATATTGTAGAATAATTTATTTCGTGTTCGTTCATAACATATTGTTTTTGTGATATGTTGCTATCGCTATGTTGCTAGCATCTGTGGTTAAAGAAAATTTTTTACCAAAGTCGGAATTTAAAAAAAAAAATTAAAGTCTTAATTACTTCAGATCCCATATTAATCTGAAGTTATTAGACTTTCATTTTTTCGAATGCTTCTACGTATGTTTTTTCTTTAATTTTAATTATGGCTCCTTTCTTTAATATCATGGTCATAGGTCTAACTACGTTTGCAAAATGTTGTATAAATTTCCTATAAATTCCACATAGTTTAAAAAATTTAATTTTAAAAAATTTTATATTTTTCAGTTTTTTGTATAGGGAAATTTATAATGGCACTGATCTTTTTTGGGTTTGGTTTTATACCTGTGGTAGTAACTACATGACCTAGAATTACTGTTTCTTTTTTCAAGAATTCACATTTGTCGAATTGTAATTTTAAATTTGCGTAACGTAAATTTTCAAATACTTTCCTCAGTGATAGAATTGGTTCTTTCAATGAAGTGGAACAAATATTTTATAATCTAAATAAAATAAACAATCATTATAAATTAGTTCTTCTAATAAATTGTTCATGTGTAAGGAAGTTCTTGGGCTGGGATATTGTGCTCAGGGCTTCCAGGGTCACTTACAATAATTTATTTAAGTTCAAGGACTTAAGGGAGGGGGAGAGATAATAAATGGCCCTATTCAGACTCCGTGGCCGGAACCCACAGCGGGTTTGGATCCGACAATCGAGCAGAGCTCCGTCGTAATCTCTTTCCGCCACGCGCATCGGAAACCGCAATGATCCTTGAATCCGACAAACGAGGCTAGCTCCGTCGTAATCTTTGGCCACCACGCGGTCCGACCACGATCGGCAGAAACAGCAAAAAAAGGAAAATGAAGGGGGATTTTGTGGGCACTGCCGACCATGGGCCGGAACCTGCAGCGGATTTAGATCCGACAATCGAGTACAAGACTCCGTCGAAATCTCTCTCAGCCGCACGCTCCGGAACCCGCACTGACCCTGGACCCGATAAACGAGCCTAGCTCCGTCATTATCCACGGCCACTACGCGCTCCGGGACCGCCAATAGCTTTGGATCCGACAAGCGGTACTGGACCGAGACGTTGACCAACCGATTATTTGTAATCGAAATCCGGTAGGTTCGCCGGGGTGCCTGGAAGTTCCATGGGGTGACCCACGTTTCCTGTGGATGGTATGGGAGCTAAAAGTCGTCTGGGTTGTCGGTGTGGCATAGCTGCTAGAAAGTTTGTATGAAGTGCTCGATAGCGGTCGCGTGTGATCTCATAGGCCGTGGCCCGTTGGATCAGAGTGGCCAGGTCCTCGAAGTCTTGCCGCCTCACAAATAACTGGTATTCCGGTCGAAGGTTCTGGTAGAGTCGCTCCAGTTCCTGCTCCGGAGTAAACTTTGCCCGCTGCATCAGGAGTCGGAGCTCAACTACGTATTCCTTGCAGCTCTCGCCCGGTTGCTGGAATCTCGTCCGGATCGTGTCTTCCAATCGTTGGAAGTATTGTGGTGGGAGGAAAAATTCAAGAAATTCTTTCCTGAAGATTTCCCACGTCACGTCCTGCTTCTGGAATGTGCGGTACCAACTTTCCGCTCTTCCGGAGATTACCCTGGGGAGTCGTGCGGTCTTGAGTCGGTATGTGTCGGCTTGTTCCTCAAGGCGTTCGACAAATGTGAGCGGGTCGGTCTTTCTTTTTTCCGCCAAGGGGGCGGAGGATATTTCTTCGCGTGCGGGAGGGTCTGCGTTTGTGTTCATTGTCGGTCGGTTGCCTGGCGGTACTTCCAGTCTTAGGGAGGTGCTCCCGGTGTCGACGCCCGGTGTGCTTAGCTTCTGTTCCCGGGGTTCTTGTCCTCCCAGAGGGCTCGCGAATTTGTGCCTGGCTGTGTCTGCTTCTGGGAATGTACTGGCCAATTCCTTGGCTCGGTCCTGGAGTTCCGGCTCGAGGTCCTCCCGGGTGAGGAAAGTCGCTAGCCGACTGCGCAGTTCCTCGACGGTTCCCCCCTGGGGTAACCCGAACTCGGCTAAGAGGAGTTGAATTTCGTCTCTGCAGCGATAGGATATACACCTTATACCCATGGTTTCCGAGCGACAGAGAGCGGAGGGGGGAAAAGAATTAAAAAAATCGTACCGCTTGATTGCGTACGCGGAAATAATAATTCGGGGCGAGGGTACCGAATATTTATAGGATTCGCGGTCCTTGCTGTGCACGGTGCTAGGATTCGGGCTAGGATGCCGAATGTTTACAGGACTCAGGGGTCCTTTGATTGCGCAAGCTAGGATACTAGGATCCTTATACTAGGGTTTTCACTGGTGATCGTTGTTCGCGACGATGTTCCTCGCTTGATGGCCGGAGCTTGACTTCCTTCTGGCAGCCCGGTGTGCTCCTCTTATAGTCGCCAGCCACGTGTCCGCCGCGTTCGGGAAAACGTGGGAAGCGAGTGAGGAGTTTTCACTGGTGATCGTTGTTCGCGACGATGTTCCCCGCTTGATGGCCGGAGCTTGACTTCCTTCTGGTAGCCCGGTGTGCTCCTCTTATAGTCGCCAGCCACGTGTCCGCCGCGTTCGGGACAACGTGGGAAGCGAGTGAGGAGTTTTCACCTGTGATCGTTGTTCGCGACGATGTTCCCCGCTTGATGGCCGGAGCTTGACTTCCTTCTGGTAGCCCGGTGTGCTCCTCTTAAAGTCGCCGGCCACGTGTCCGCCGCGTTCGGGACAACGTCTCGCCCCATCACCCCGACGGAAGGGGGCGGTGTGAGGAACCGTAAGACGGCCCTCACAATTATTTTGTATATTTTGTAGCCATGTAATATTATTAGTTTAGCTTTTTCATAGCCAACGCACCCAACACCGCCAAACCATCGAACGCCTGAGCGCAACCAACACGCTTTCGCTCTCTTCTACACACACTTCGAACATCAGCAGCTGCACACATTTGAACCACCGAACGCCTGAGCGCAACCAACACGCTCTCGCTCTCTTCGAACAGTTCCAACACGATCTCGCTCTCTTCCACACACACTTCGAACATCAGCAGCTGTACACACCTAAACCATCGAACGCCTGAGCGCAACCAACACGCTCTCGCCCTCTTCTACACACACTTCGAACATCAGCAGCTGCACACATTTGAACCACCGAACGCCTGAGCGCAACCAACACGCTCTCGCTCTCTTCGAACAGTTCCAACACGATCTCGCTCTCTTCCACACACACTTCGAACATCAGCAGCTGTACACACCTAAACCATCGAACAGTTTGAACACCTGCACAAAGCTAACACACACACAAGCTTTTTGTCGCACGATCGATCAAATTGCAACCAACCCGACTGATGTTTTTCGAGCAAGGGGAAATAATTTCGCACGATCGAACCAAATTGCAACCAACCCGACCGATGTTTTCGAGCAAGGGGAAAATAATTTCGCACGATCGAACCAAATTG